TATTGGGTGCACTTTTTTCGATTTTGCTCATATGGATTCTCACCTGCTTCCTGTGTTTAGAAGCCTACGATCGAATACGCAATCCGAGAGGAGTAAATGGAAAGACCATGTTTATTATTTCCTGCATAGGCGTTTTAATCAATTTACTGTATGTTATTTATCTTTCCATTATTCGAAATGATAATACTTCATTATATCATAATTGACTTTTTTTTCATCGTTAGATTGATTTTCGTACTAGGCCACACTCACTTTAACCGTCGTGACAGCAAAGACAATAAGGATTATCATCATAGTGGAGACGGCGTTAATATTCGAGCGGCTTTACTGCATGTGTTGGGCGATTTACTCTCATCACTAGGAGTCTTGATTTCATCGATCGTCATTATCTACGATCCAAGTAAGGTGTGGGTAGATCCGCTGTGTACATTTTTCTTTTCGGCATTGGTAATGGTGACCACATTTGGAATATTGAAGAGTAGCATAAGAGTGCTGATGGAAGGTTTGTGCTCATTTTTCGATCGATAGCGCACTAATCGTTATCGCAATTTTATTAACCTATTTTTTTATCTAATTGAACCTGGGTTCACAGCGACGCCATCTCATATTGACATACAAGCCGTAAAGTTAGACCTGAAGTCTATCGAGGGTGTAAGGAGCGTACATGACTTGCATGGTAAACTCATCTTTCTTTCTGGGATTTTGTGATTTCAACTGAACACTCACTGAAAATTTTCGCGCTATTAATAATAGTCTGGGATTTGACTTTTGGAAAAGTAAGGTTTTTTTTTTTTTTTTGCAACTGTAGTTTATCCGGACTTTGATTTTTTGTGATTCAAATTTTATCCTTCACTCCGATTAGACAATACTCGTTGCCCACCTAAAACTCCAAAAATGCAGTCCAACTCAATATTCCGAAACATTCACGCGATCCTCAATATTATCAATGACCAGAAAGATGTTGAGAAAGAAATATAATATTTTTATGGTAACTATACAGATCGATGAATGACATACAAATGAAAACCGTAAAAATCAAGACTAACATTAACTTGATACTATATTTAAAAAAAATAATAAAAAATAATAAATTTATAAAATTACGTATAATAGTTTTTTTTTTTGTTATGTAATATACAGTATTAATTAATATTTTTTATTTATTATTTAAAATACTTGTATTAAATAAAAAAAATTGTTTTTAATTTTGTAAATTTTTATTAACAAAAATTGTAATATATTTAAAAAAATATAGTATAATAATATTATTAAAAAATATTTTTTAAATATTTTGTTTTTATAAATGTTTTTATAAAAAAATACTTTGTTTCAAAGATTTTTTAAAAATTTGTTATAAACAAAAAAATTATAATTAATTAAAAAATATATTATATATCTAATAATTAAATAATTATTAATTATTTTTTTTATTTTTGAATTTTTAAAATCAAACAAATATAATATTTATCTACGTAATTTGAAATTTCTAATAAATTTCTAATATTATAAATAGAAATTCAATATAAAAATATTGAATTTTTATTGATATATTATAATTTTATTAAAATATAAAATATAATTTAATATATTTTATTTAGACAAATATATTATATATATAATTTTATTATTATATAAAATTTTATTAACAATTAAGATTATAAATTAATAATAAATTTTTATTAATATATTATTCCAAAAATCAAATAAAAAAAACTAAAATATTATAAAAAATTAAAATTAAAAACATATTTTTTTAAAAAAATAAATAAAAATATTTATTGAAAAATATAAATAAATAAAATAAAACTTTTATTAATCTAATTATTTCTATATAAATATATTTTATAAATAAATAAAAAATAAAATATTAAAAATAAATAAAAAATCTTTTTAAATAAAAATAAATAATAAATCATAAATATCTTTTTTGAAACTAAATATAATATATATATGGTTTTTATTAATTAAAAAAAATTATATTGTTTTTGTTATATAAATAGTTTATCTAAATTAATTGATACTATTTATCTTTAATTTAACTATAAACTTATATTATAAAAATAAACCTAGGGCTTCAAAAAGTACTAAACTGATATCAAAGTGGTATTAAAATAGTACTGATCTATAGTAAATTTAATATATAGATTGTAATCCACTTATATGAATTTATAATAAATTTAAATATCAAATAAATATCAAACATATATCAAAGTAATACTGTTAGAAGCCCTAAATAAACCTATATATTAAGTAAAATTTAAGTTAAAAGTAGAAATCCTATTATTAATTTAAATAATCTAATCTATTAATTCAATTTTATAAAGATTATTAAAATAATTAAATATTTTATTACTTATTATTTTAAATTAATAATATTTAAAATTAAAAATCTTTAAGAAATATATTAACAATTAATAACATATTTTTTATATTATATCTAATAATTTATATACTAGTAAAATTAAAAATATTTAATATAAAAATATTTTTTTAATAAATATTTTAAAAATAAATTCTTTAATTAATTATAACTATCAAATATAAATATTTATTAATCAAATAAATATAATTTTTGAATCTTTTAATAGATATTTTAAAAACTTTTAATTAAAAATATAAATATTAAGCAAGATATAATTTTTATACTGTATATTAATAAACTATTAAGAAATTTCTTAAAAAAGCTTTTATATTAATATTAATTTAATAATATTTTTAAAAACAAAATATTTTATATTAATATATTATACTATAGAGTTTATTATATTAAAAAAAATATAAACTTTTATAAAAATTAATTCAAAAGTCTTTTTCTATATAACTTTTTTTATGTTAATTTGTTTTTAACTTACAATTATTAAAAAAATTAAAAATTTTATTTTTATATAACTTAGAATTGGATTTAGATATTTAAATATAATATATAAAAAACTATATATAAAAAATAATTTATGTATTTTACTTTTATGAATATTGAATTAAAAATATATATTTGATAGTTTAAAAATATTATTTATTATACTATTAATCTATAGGTTTTTGGTTTTCAATATTTTATATAAAACTAATAGTAATTATTCTTATATTTTTAATTATATTTTCAAAAATCAAATATAAATTTAAACAAATAGTAATACTTATATTAATATTATAATAATATTTATAAAATTATATAACTTTAAAAAATACTATTATATAATATTTAAATAATATAAAATCAAATAAATATTATTACTAATAAAAAAAACTTTTATCTATTCATTATTAATTTTTAAAAAAAATTTTTTTATGAAAATTTTCTTTAAAAAAATACTTTTCACTCTCTTTTCTATATAATAACTATACTATAAACTTAAAAATATAAGAACTTTAAAAACTATTATTATATTGGAATAAAATCTCTAATCAAAGGTCAAACAAGTTTGAGAGTCTTGTTTATTCTTTGGTTGCATAGAAAAGGCCTATGGCAGTTTTCCTTCTTAACTTTATCTTTATATTTTTTTATTTTAAAAATCATCAATATTATTCTCATATTAATTCTCAACATTACAAATTTATTTCTCAAGTTATACTTAAATAAAGTTATTAAATCTTTTGCTTGT